TTTTTTTTTTTTTTTTGATAAAGCATTTAAAAAACAAAACATTACTTATTTCTCAGATATCACCTAATACAGTACAATACAAAACATAATTTACACAGAAAGCAGTTTTGCCCGTCTATCACGATAAATCTTCAACCACCGTGCTTCGCGAATAGCCATATCCTCAGAAAGCTGAAAATAAGTTCAATATACAACAAGTAGACAAGGTTTGAATAAGAATAAAAGATCTGTAAATGAGAAAAAAATTTTAGCACAAAATGCATATAATTTTAAATATAAGTAAAGCATTTAATTAAAGCCTACGTTATTGAATACTAGTAAACAACTGAGTAAAAAACTGAGAAAATCACAAATTACTCGAGCATTAGCAAGTGGAATTTCCTTATTTAGTTTTATATCAGTGCCCAAAAATTTATTTCCCTGATCATATTTTCGCTCAATATCTTTCCATTTTGGTCCAAACATTGCTTCATCATGTTCATTTTCTTTTTTAACTATTACTGCTGAAGCATCTGTTCCATTCTGAAGAAAAAAGGTAAAGCAGTAATTTTGAAATTTAAATATGAAGGGATATTTACTAGAAAACACTCCTTCTTATAACAAGTACCATAAAAAGTTAATCTTCATTACAAAATATTACTGAAGCATCGATAATGACAAATTTTGAGAATTGCAATAATGCAACTCATTTACGATAAGTTCTGAAAACTCCGTCTTATAATTAATCTTCATCTACAGATTTTTGCAGTTTACACATATAATGAAGCAGTAACAAAAGACTAGTGAACTGACAGTATAATCTAAATTAATAAATCGTTCTGCTTTTATGCAAGAAGGCTAATGTAATAATCAACTGCAAATACAAGAACAAATAAATAAAGCGAAATTCTAATCAATTGAAATAGTTAAATTGAGACCTCCTTTTTAATTCGACCGCCAGCTCCACCAGCAGAAGAAATAAATGTAGACTGATGAAAACCTTCGTCTTCAATACGAGCAATATCGCGATGTCGTGCTAGCGTTTCCGTAATAGTTAAATCCAGTTGATTTCCGAGTACTACTCTATTGTCATCATTATCACTAATTTTTGACAGAGCAGACTCAATTACAGAACGCATTCGCGACTTCACAGTCTCGATTTTCTTTTGAAAAAAAATTAATTGTCTCAAGAACAAATGTTTGTAACAGTAATAACTGAAATTGTAAATTATTGGTTTCTTTGTCACCAAGTAATTCAACAACAGTTTGAAATTATAGTCTCTTTTAAAGTTTAATATATTTCAAAAAACACTTGCGTTAAATAGTCGACAAACAACCTTTACAGCCTCTTTCGTTTTCTCTTCCTCGACTTGCGGACGCTTTTTTGATCGTCCATGTTTGTTTCTTCGACTGTCTTCCTTACTTCTAAAAAAATTTAAATTAAACTTGAAAAGATGCCTAGCGATGTTATTTTATTTCTTCAAATAAAACTTTAATAAAGAATAACCCAAGTATTTTTGTTAAAAATAAATTAAACAAGACTTATTCAACCAGCACAAGTAATATTCCTTTGCAACGGTAAAATCATTCATTTAAATAAATAATAAAATCTATACTTTATTTATGAAACAGTCAGCATGTACGAATTTCATCTTCAACAAATGATAGCCATTTTGAAGCTAATATTAAAACTTATACTACTGCTTCAGATAATACCAGCTTTACGGGAACAAATTATTCTCTTAAAGCTCTAAGTCAGTCGCTAGTGATAAATATCAAAATCTACACTTGAACAGTTTCTATACCTTGTGACAGTTCTGAAGTAAATAATTATTATAATACATATTAGGTTTACTCATTACTATTACCACTACTGTGACTTTAAGAACAAAACTATTTTTAAAAACATCGCAACTACATGTAATATTCATCTTTGCAGTTAAAATTATTACTAGCAGAAATTAAAGATTCACAATAAATAACTTATTTTTCAATATATTTGCAATAATCCATTATTAGTTCAAAATACAGTAACCTGCTGTGACTTTCATTGCTTGTGCTTCGACTTCGATTGCGACTTTGCCGTTGGTAAGCTTGACTGTTTTCTCGGACTCGTTGTTTATTATCTCTAGTGGAAGACTTGGTCCAGTTTGATGGGCTCCTGATAGATATTCCATCGCGAGTACTGCTCCTGGCATGGCGTCGATGACTATTTCTGCTTCGCTTACCTTGCGAATGATCCCCGCTCCTGGCTCGATTATCAAATCGATCTTTACTTCCGCTTCTGCTACTATGTTGATCCCGACTTCTGCTACGTGTTCGTCTTCCATGGCTATCGCTGTCACTATCGCTACTTGTTGAGTACTGATGCCGATATGAACTACTCTTTGTGCATTTATTCCCTCTTTTCATTACCTAGCAACTAAAAGTTATCATTAGTTATCATCAAGTTTACATATAAAAATAAAAAAATCTTTTTATGAATACAACTAATATTCCTTTTTATTTTCCTCACAAACATCACTCAACAATGACTATAAACATTTATTCTTGTAATTTTTCTTTGTATTGTCTCACGCAAAACACGCTAAAATCAGACAACAATACACTAAAGTATGAATATCTAAAACGAGTTATACGCTGTAATTTTAAACCAATTCTGTTTGTTTCTAACTCTGTTACCATGCACACAACTACTTCGTCTTAAACTAAAAGTTCCAAACTAGAAGTATAGAGTCAAGCAATTCCACGTCTACAATCACGAAACACACCCTTTTTATATTTTTATTCCAGATAATCGAAAGACCTACCTCACACCGTCACCTCACGTATACATAATAACCGTTTCTCAACTTTCATAAGAAGAAATTCTAAATTTTTGAATATATTTGCATTTCAAGTATTTCACGGCCCTGATTGGTTTCATGCAATGCATCATTTTTTGCTTAAATTGCGATGTCAGCATTCCATCTTATTAATATATTTCATTGAAATTAGCAGCTAAAATATATTAGTTATATCGATAAACTGTTAATCTAGCCCTTATACATCTCAGTATTTCATATAACAATACATTTACTTACTTTGTCCACAAAAATATCTTTTCAGTAAATCATGACGTTAATTTCTAGTGCTACTCACATATTATTATTACTTTTTTAAAGAACACATCTATATTACTGTTACTATTATCATTTATATTGTAATTATTATGATTATTTTATAGCTGTTTTGTGATAAAGAGTATTTATAATTAAAAAAAGGGATAATTACTCATTTCTTGCTATTAGTATGAATTCTAGTCAGCAACAATTACTATTAGTTATTTTTAAGTGTTTATTTATTGCTAATAATAAAAATAACTAATAAATTTATATTCTTAACATGGACTTATTTTTTTTTAAAGAAAACATGAAAAATATTTCGAAGCAAGAATATTAAAATGAAAAAATGTTCACTATAAACAGAATACTATTTCAGTTGAAGAAGCGTATCGTAATATTCATTTCAGTAATAAATTACCGAGTTTACTTGAAGCCAAGGAGATCATAAAATTTTTGACACAAATGAATATCACGTAGTCGATCATACTAACATCCAATCTTCTCATAATTACTGGTTAGTAAAATTAACAAAATTTCTTTACTGTTACTCACTGTGAAGTGAAAATTGAAGCTTTTAAAGGCATGCAAATTCTTTAATTATTATTACTTTTCTACAGTACTTGAGAATGTTACCTTTTGGAATTTATTAGTTACAATTTATTACTTAATCGTATTAAATTGTGATTACTCACACGTAATACTTGAGAATGTTTTTCATGTAAAATCAATTATATATTTTTTTTACTTTTTTGATTCTAAATAATATAAATCACGTTTGTTTGCAGGAAATCACCAACTATACTGTGAAATTATAATAGTTGTGGAGGACATGAATTATATCAAAGTATAATACATTTATATATGCCAGAAATATGGCATAATAAGAATCTTCGACTTGTTTATCAGCAAATACCAGTGCTTTGAAAAGGAATATTTGGAAGTCTCAAAGTGATGGAGAGCATTCGTTGGGAACGCAAGAATTTGCAAAGGAAAACATAATAGCTTATAAGGGAACTGTGTGGTAAGTAAAGTTCGTTTCATCTATTTAATTAGTTTCACTTTTTAAGCACAAGTATTACAACATATCTCGAAGATAATCGACAACATTATTATTATTAGTGAAGTGAACGGTGAAGTGATTACATTCATCTTAACAAAAGGGGAAATTTCTTTTATTTTTACGAGGGCATATCTTTATTAATATTTTCAGTAAATATGAGCTGCTTGTAATAAGTGGTTGCATCATAATCTAAGTTTGAGTGCTCAGTTAATCTATATTCAGTTAATTAGATGAAGAGAGGAAAATAGTACGATATGGAGTTTATTACATTGTACTATAATAGAATGCTTCCCAACAGCTAAAGTAAATGAACAAACATGCTATTGCATTGATAAAAGTAGGTCCAAATCGTGATAAACTTAGGTTACTTATTACTGGAAATGTCCAATAAAATAAAACTTATCTCAGTGATCTGATGAACAGTAAATAATAATGGTAATAACGTAAGCAGATTTGCTGTGAAGCCAAAGAAACGATTAGAATGAAAAGTTCTTGAAATAAACAATTATTCTTTACACCGCAACACACAACTGCAAACAAAATATAGAGGAATGCGCGACTTGCATCAAATCTCAAAAAGTTACCATTAAAACTAAGGTTTGATGAACCTGTAGTGCTTCAATCACTGTATGCATTAATTTCAAATTATTCCATAAAATGATTAAAATTTAAGGTAATGCGGAAACCATTATTTCTTCTAGGCAATGGGTAGTAGCTAATTAACTGGATCATTATACAAGAAATATCTATCAATATACTGCTCTCACAAAGACTATGTTGAAGAAACTGGGCGATCAGCAACAGGTGACCAAATGAATTTCTTAGTTTTTCTAAATTTTTAGCAAGTATGATCACTACTTGCATATCTTCTTCGTTCATACTTTGATTAGTTTCCATTGCTTCGCAATAATTTTCTCTTCAACAAATTTTTCTGAAAATTCTGGCTCTTTTTTGCATTCTAAATATGATTGGAAATGATAAGGGAGTAATCTTACGAATATGAAAATAACATGTCTTCATCTTTCCGAAATGGAGCAGCGCATATGATTGACTTCAAGGATGTTTATTTAGGAATATGGAACGTCGTGTTAAAATATGTCCCGTAAGGATCGACAGCAACTTGAAAATTTGAAGTTCATCACGTCCCCGTCGGTCACAGAAATACGTTTAAAAAAATATATCGTAATTATCCTATTCGTGGGAAAGAAATACGTTTAAAAAATATATCGTAATTGTCCTATTCAGTTAGAAATATGAAAAAAGGCTAAGAATGTAGAAATCCTTTTTTAAGGAAAAAAAAGATAATTGTGCATTATGTTAAAATAATAAACTGCACTTTAAGTAGAGACATAAAAGGTAGCAAAAATACTTTGTCATCGATCAATACGTAAATCAAACACCAAGTATATCTCAGTAAAAAAATATTAACAAAATTTAAAATCATGAAACGTTTGCTAATTCCATCACAAATTTACTATACAGATAACACTGAACTTTGCAAATACATACTGATGTTTGATAAGGAGAAACAAGCTAGCCTCCACATTTTTAGCAACATATGCTGAGTTGTACGATCCTAGTAAATGATTATTCACAAAAATCAATTTTCATTAGAAAAATACATTCCAGATATCCTATAGGCAAAGTTACACGAGTAACGAAATGAAAATAACGATTCTGAGAAGAACAAGGTAAAAGTTATAACTGAACTTGACTGCAGTATTGAAAAGACATTACTCGGAAACTGGCCATTTTAGAAACAGCTGAATTTTCTTCCTCAAAAATGTCACTACTCAGGCACAATTATTACAAATACATCAATGAATAGCGGATCAAACTGTGATTATAACAGAATTAAAACTGCTACCTACAGAGTTACGCGATAAAGCACTTTTTATGAACAGGCTAGTAACTTGGAGTCAGATTTTTTTCTTGAATAGTAGATACAGCAATAAACCTGTAACACTAAATACATAGGTCCACAGAAATGATTCTTTAGCTTTCCTACGTTCGAAGTTGTCTTCTAACTGAATTAAACGTGTCGCCAAACGTCCTAACTGTCGTTTCATTAATTTCAACTCAAATAAAGGATTTTCTTCTACAGCTAACGATGTCGAGAGTCCCTACATTAACCTAACTTTGTGAAAATTCAAAAGCATATATAATTTGCAAAAATTCCAAAACATTGAAATCAAATTTAACAAGTCTTCATATATCAATTTTGATGCGTATAATTTTAGAATGTTTTAATTTTGAAGCTATTAGATAACAAAAATAATTTAAATTACAAACTAATTTTTACACCGTAAACTTCGAAAAAAGACAAATTGCAACTGTTAAAAAAACGTACTTGTGGAGGAGTCAAATTATTCTTAGTTCGTGGCAAATTTTCTTCTATTTCTGGACAAGGTCCTTTATCAAGAGTTAGTGTGCCTGGATTAGTTAAATCCTATAATAAGTTTGTACAGAGAATGGTGCCAGTTCAGAAATATACATAATTCTGCACCTCAATTAAATGCTTATAGAGAATAATAATATAATAATATACCTGGAAATGTACACGAATAAAAAAATGAAAAAGTTGGTTGTTTCATTGAATAATATCATGGCAGATTTCGAGATTTTCATAATATACATATACATGAGAAAAACATACTGAAGTAGGGAAACTGATGTCCATACGATCAAACATAACTTCTGATGGCTGCGCACGATCACCACGTATTTCATTACCACCAGCAACGAATATTCGTTCAGGAACATTCATTTGATAAGCTAATTTGGTTCCTTCTTTTATTGGATGGGAAAATTGATTGGAATTCTTTTGATCACGACGACCCGTAATTGTGATATGTCGAGGTACATGCATGATGTTGCGGTATAATCAAGAACAGCTTCAGAACCTATGATATAACATATATATAAAATTGATCACTCGATCAAATAATCAATGCAACCACAGATAGACTTGATTAATAGACGTAATGAATATTTTAATGATATGTAGTACCACGTATGGTAAACTGAAAAATCGAGGCTAAGAAAAGAGAAGAATTTATACACTTTCAAACCTGATTCGTTTTTGTTTAAGCCTTTTCTACGGTTATTTTTTGAGCTCTCGGATACACAGCGAAAACTAGAAAAAATAGATGTGTCAGCCACAAGAAAAAAGTTTTTAGGAAATTTGGATTTTAGTTTTTAGGACACATCACATAAAATACACGTGAGAAATTCCGTGAGAAGAATAAAATTGTGAGAGATATAAGTCATTCAACAAATTGTATTTTCTTTCTCAAGTGATTTTTGTTTTTTCACCCTGTTGGCCGCAAAAAAAACATGAAGTAGGACAAAAGTTTGCAGCAAAAGTGTATGAGGAAAAATCGAGTGTGATTTTCTGAATTTTGCTAGTATGTGTGCACGTGAACTACACGTAGGACGTTATGTAGATGTAACTTTTGTTTTTCGCTCAGTCGACCACATTAGACTGGTTTCATTAGTATCTGAATGTTTTCTGCAAATTAAAGTTTCGTTCTGTGAAATTTAGATTATGGGTGTTATAATTAGTTTGAAATATATATTCAGCTTTAAATCACAGTCAGCAAGTTTGATTTGTGAGCATTTTTTTGTTTTGAAGAATCGAATACAAAAAACTGTATTAGTTACTTATACTTCAGTGTTGGATACAAGTATTTGGTTGTATCAATTTTTCACTTCAATGATCATTATATTTTATTATTCGGTTGTCTAATAAAGGATATCTGTTGCAATGACGACAACTGGTCGAGAGTATTACTTTTTCATAATTGGACAGAATGATCAACTAATATTCGAAATGGAATTCCCAGTAGTGGATGCCAAAAAACGACGTGAATCAGATACGCGTCATCTCAATCAATTTATTGCTCATGCAGCTTTAGATATTATCGATGAAATGTCCCTCACCAGTCCACAAATGTACTTAAAAGTATACTTTATTAATTTGATTAAAACTGTATCTTGTAATTCTAATTTTTAATCATGATTAAATTAGATTTTTTTTGGATTTTATGGAGCGTTCATGAAATTTTCTGCTCTCTCTATTCGTTAATTTAAAAATACTGCCAAGTGTACTTTATATTATTATGACATATTTATGAGTTTTATACAAATATTTTGATTTTTTAAAATTATTATTCAGTAATTGCTTTAAAAAAAATTGGTGCTAAAAGATGTTGTCAGATGTTACATTGGGTTTTTAATTTCGTTTTTACAGGTAGTTGATAAATTCAATGAATGGTTTGTTTCTGCTTTCGTCACTGCAAGCGGAATGAGATTTGTCATGTTGCACTGTCAGAAAAATGAAGATGGCATTAAGCAATTTTTCCAGGTTTTTTGACTTGCGTTTAAGATTTTAAACTAATTTCTAATTGTTCTGTAAATTTTACTGCTTGCATTCTAGTTAAATTGGCTCAGATTTGTACTATCATGTGATTTAGTTATTTTTGAAAACATAATGTACTTTTATTTTTACAAGATTCACAAAATCTTGCCAACCCAATAAAATGTCTCCTTTAATAAGTGTAATCACTTTTATAATGAGACTGTTTTAACTAGAATTATTCGATATTTTCAGGAAATATATGAAATGTATATCAAGCTTTCAATGAATCCCTTTTACGAAATTGGTTCTTCAATTACATCAGCTAATTTTGAACAAAAATCAGTATTTTATGCAAAAAAATATTTAAATTCATGATAGATGATGTTAAATAATGAGATCTTCAAGTCAATGGAAAATCCATTCAAATGGAGGAGTATCTTCTAGGTTTCTTTATTATACTGCAATGTTTGAAAATTTATAAAATCTGTTTCACATCTTGCATTAGAAATATAAATAGTAGAATTGTGCACTCATCATTTATAGTATAAAATTTTTTTGGTAATTTAGCAATAACAATAAAAGATTGCAAACATTAAGCATCTGTTTGGTTAAAAAAGGGATATATTTATAAAGCTTATATCAAAATAATATGTTGCTATTTTATCTTATCTGCTCGCTGATTACTGAACGTTTTCAACATTGGAACATATTATAATTATGGATTGTAAATAAGGTTTCAAGTAATTTTATTTCTTTACCTTTAATTCTGTTGCTACCCTTATGCATTTTTAAAACCAGTAGAACCTCATTTTATGAAAGGATAATCGAGCAGTTTTTTAAATTAAATACGGTAATTTACTGAACTGCATCAATTGCCTCATTCACTTTTTGCTAAGATTATTTCAGACTGATTTCCTTTATAATAACGAACAATGTCTGATCTGAGGTAAATGGTGTACTTTATGAGTGTTCTTTTAGAATATCTTGTTTTTCGAGGGAGTATTTTTAACTTCCCATAGTTTAAGTAGTGTAGTGTAATAATTGTATTGCAATATATTGTCAAAAATTTCCCAGAGATAATTCATGAAGATAAGCAGAAATATCAATATATCGATAACCATCTTTTCCAAAATCTCACTTTCTCTTTTGGTATTTTGGCATGAGCGAATTTGTTGATTAGAATATAATTTGGTCTTATTCTTGTCATTACTTCTAAATATTGTGGCAATTACTATTACGTATTGGTAAGTAACAGAATAACTCTAACATTGCGTAATATTTGTCGAAATTAAAATTTTGTAATGGCATGAACGATTTGAGCTATCAACACATTATGTGTAGTAAATTTTAGAATAAGAACCAAATATTTTTACTCGTACGTACATGCACGTGTAAAGTATTTATTGAGTAATGTAACGCAAAATCAGCATTAGTTGAAGTATCTAGGGTTCATAAAAACGTATGTTTTATCTGACCGCTTAGGAAGTTTTATAAATGAATAAATGCTATGATTTCTTCATTGTAATATCTGATTGGATTTATAGTTCGAATAGTGTATAGTAAGAACAGTCATTTGGTTTTGGATAATTTCTTAAAAGGATTAATGTATTTTTAGTGTGACCGAAATTAAGTGTATTTTACCAGGTACCGTATTTGATGCTCAATTTTAGCATTTTAGCACTTTTGTCTAATTATGGATACATGTGACTTTTAACTTTACCAGGCTGATTCTTTTTCTAAAACTTATCCTCTGCTTCCTCTGTTAGTTTTTGTTTCAATTAAGATATGCAACTGATTACATTCCACCACGATTAATTACCTCTATAGTTAGCAATAACTGCTAATGTTTGCACTTAAGTTATTACCAGAAATATCCACTAATAGTAATTAAGTAAACTTTTACAGCAGCATCATAATAAAGATTACCTAGCATATCATAAGTGAAAGCGAAAACTATAATTATTTGATCTTTTTTCAAGCAGCAGAAATGCTCTCATATTAACTTAAGCAAAGAAAATGTGCACATATTTCCCGGAATCAAATTCCATTCTGAGCAAACATGATATTGGAGCACTTGTTCACTTTATGAGATATTTTTAAGTGTAACTAAAAAAACTGTAATATCTTGAGAGAGAGTATGATTTTTTTTCGATCTTTGTTTGAAAAAATGTAAGTAAAATTATTGAGTAAGCCTAAGCATTACGAATTACTCTTTTATGAAATTATCAGCACTAATTTGATTTATTGATAATACAAGCGTTATAAAACTTGGGCGCACTGAAAGCTGCGTGGTAAGTAGCATGTTTTTCTTTCCGCTTCTAAGTTGGTTGTTTACATGTCATTGCTAGAAGCTGTTTAGGATTTTAATTAGGATAAGTGCTAGTGCCTTTTTAGATTATGAAAAAATTAAATATGAACTTGAGAGAGATGAAATATGAAGCATTTAATCTCAGAACTGCTTCTTATTCCGTTAAATTGTACGTAGTTTGCAGGTTCAGCATGTGTATAGTTATTATGATGTCATTGCTGGATGGAAAATAATGATTTTTAATCATGGCAACGGAGCAGAATTATTTGCTTTCATCGAGCTTAATTTACTCTATTTAGAAATTTCTTGAGAACTTTGATCAGCTTGTTGTGGATTCCATTTTATCGATGCTTGTGAAGAAAGTGCGAGGAAAAAAAATGGAAATAGATTTTTTCAGCTTCTATCTTTTTCCACTTTTAGTCGCTAAATATGAATGTAATGTATAGAATAAATAAAGTGTATTTTCTAAGCTTTATCCTTGTCGGTTGTCGATTGTATGCTTTTTGCTGTAGAAGAAGAATTAGAGCATTTTCATCACTTTTTGTGAATTGAGCTTTACTTCATATAACGTCTACGAGATTGACGTACATCACTTAAGTCATTTATTGAATTTTTCATTTCTCATTTTGTTTGAGTGAATGTTATAAAAGTGCTAAGCAAATGAAAAGATAGATATATGAGTGATGAATGAATGCGTTTGGAAAGAAATAATAAAAAAGAGACTGCACTGCATGGATTCATTGTCGTCTTCTGTGTTATATCCAGTTTTAAATTAGTGCTGACAAATTCTTTGAGTGCAAACTGCTGAGCTGATTGTATTCATTGGATTTCTGCGCTCTTCTCCCATGTTATTGTCATTCCGCTATTTTTCTGTCTTTCATTGCATCATTGCAGACACTGAACTCGTCGAGGAAGGAAGGCGTCAGCGTCATTTTTTGAAATACTCTCTCATTTAGATTTCATTTTCATGCCATTACGATTTTTAGAATTCATCTCCAACACTGAACTTTGAATGCACAAAAGTCATAATTTGTAAACATCAGTGTGAGTGATGGTATTTTGCGTCTCATTATGTTTGCCGCAGTTTTAACAGTTGATTGCTCTTGTTACTTTCTTCTTCTATAAATTATTGATTTTCACCGGAATGATATTAATGTTACTTAAATGTAATATGATTACTGTTGAAATGAAAATTTACTCGATACCATCACTCATCAAATGTGTTTCCACTTCTTTTGTCTTCTAAATGCAGATACTGTAAATACCGCTTAATTTTTGTACTAGATTCTCTTAGTCTTTTTCTTGACGTAACCAAAAATTAGAACTAAGAATTGCAAGTTTCTCAGCGCTGTATATTAATTAGATGATAATGTGCGTTGTAGAGTTTTTCACTTTCGCCACGTACTAATATAATGCTAGTGTGCTTTGATAATAGTTTCTATAATGTTTAAGTGGTTTCCGAGGCTGTTTTGTTTTTGTTTATAATATGCCAATGAGTGAATTGATTTTTCTTTTGAATCTTAAAGGGTTATTTGATTTTGGCACAAATGTACCGTATAAAAAGTTAAATCTACAACTAAATTTACTTGAACTGTTAAAAGTATATGGAAGATTTCCTTGTCTCGAGCTCTAAATATCCGCTTCATAAAGTCGTTTCATTATTGAAGTTATAATATTTATAAAGGGCAAAATCGCAATGGTTAACAGTGGTTGTCCGTTCCTATTCCTTGTGCGATTACTTTTAAATCTAATGGTATCAGTAGCAAGTTCTGGTATACGATCGATCGCCCAAATTCGATTTGATCCACCATTCATTCATGATCTCATTGCTGGAACTAATAAAACTGTAAAAGTTGCTGTTGATTTAGATACGTATCATCAGGAATTTGCAAAATTATCGAACGAAAAATCGTTTTCTATTATACTCAAGTAAATATTATCTTGTTTTTACTTTCCATGAATTCGAGTAGTTCACGATGCACGTGTTACATAAAGTTTATTATATGCTGAATATTAGGCTTTTAATTTATTTGTTATTTAAACTTGAGGTCAGTTGATGAAGATATAGCTACAGTTGCAAAAAAGCGTAAAGAATTCATATTGGGTGAATATGCTTCGAAGGATAACGATTTAGAAACATATGAGGTTTTTTGTCATATTATTACATTTTTGTATTGTCAGGCCTTAGCAATAATTAGCTCTTGAGTTTCTTTTTATCAACGAAAACCTTTTTTTTATAAAGGGACAGTATAAATTGCAGTTAAATGTTACTCTTACCGGGCATTTTTTGGGTAAGACCGCAATAGAAGCACATGTAGTAGATGCTGAAGAACGGGGGCCTGGTGACCTTCGATTCATGGATCAAATGAGTGAAGTAAGTTATAAGTTATTGCTGAGTTACAATTTAAGGATAACAAACTAATTAAAGGACTAAACTATTCAGAAACAATTAGTCGTGAGTCAGTCCAATGCATTGGATGTTTGGGTGATTCGAAATAGCAAGTCCCTTGAAAATCGGGTATTTCTCTCGACACTGGTTATTCTAATTGTGTTTGCTAATGTGCTGATGGGATGTGAAGTAAGTATTTCATCTTTTTAACTCTATTTTGTTGCCTGTAAGATTTTTTGTGCTGAGTGGCAGTTAATATATTTGATGCGAATATATTATTGTTTAAATATTATAGTATTAATTGCTTAAAAATCTGCTTCGATCAGTCAAGTAATAAATGTGATGAGTAAGTTTTATTCAAACTTCCACAAATTTTGTAACTTCTTATTCTCAGTTAGACAAAGATGTTGTTTGGCAAACTATTAAAAAACCAGTCGCACCGCTCATTGGCTTTTGTACACAGTTCATCTCTATGCCTTTGGTGAGTTATTTTGATTAAATTCAATTTGAATAATGATCTTTACAGTAGTAACATATTGAAGGATTAAAGTGACAAAATAATGTCAGAAAAAAAGTGTCAGAATGATGTCCAAAAAAGCAATTAATAATTAGTTTCCGGCAACGTTTTTGCACTTTTTTCTCTCTGATTTGTCAATGATTGAACTTAAGTTTTATAAAATGTTATTTCATTTTGGTATTCATGTATTGAAAAATGATTTTGATCTTATTCGAACTTCGGTTTTTGTCTTCATAAAAGTTGAGTTCTTCAACCAAAAGTCACGCATTATTACGGTAGTAATTAAAGGGAAAAAATGATAATGCATATAACACTCAACATTTTTTTTTTAAATTTTAGCTTGCTTTTGCTATTTCCAATGTAGTATTCATGACCAAAGGGTTGCATTCATTTGCACTTGGCGTATTTGTTACCGGTTGTGTTCCTGGTGGTGGTGCTAGCAATTACTGGACCCTTATCTTAGATGGCAACTTACCAGTTTCTATAACCATGACATTTTGTAGCACAATTGCATCTCTAGGTGGACTTTTTTCTCATAACGTTTGATATCACAAGAATGAAAATTATTTCTCACTGCTTTTTCCTTCGGAATAGTGGTTTCAGCGGTGAAAAAAATTTCAGCAGTATTTATTGCGCATTTTTTTATTTCTTTAATGTGATGACAACTAAACACAGATAAAGCTGTTTTGTGGAAGGAAAAGTAGAATATGTATGTGAAGAGAGCCTTTATTGCTAAAATATTGTAGTAATGATGCCATTCTGGATGTGGCTACTTGGTGCTTATATTCTTAACAGTTTCCATCCCGAAGCCGTTATCAAAATCCCTTATATAAAAATCATTTCATCTCTGGTGACGATAGTTTTACCATTACTTTTTGGTGTTATAATATCGCATTTTAAGCCATGCTTACGTCATCAAGCACGAAAGGTCTGTTTCATTTGTTTTTTCAAATAATCTTGTGTTAGCATAAGCTCGAAGTTTTTCATTCAATTATTTAAAAATTATTATTCAAATATATACCTTTTATTTGACGCCTCTAAATATTTTTACATCTTACAGATAATCCGTCCATTCATTATATTTGTTCTTGTTTTTTTGATTTGTTTTGGAGCATTAGCTAATTTGTATATGATTCGCCTATTAACATGGAGTGCTGTTTTAGGGTATAATTTTATCATTTCTTTCTTTACAGTTCTCAGATTTTCAATGCTAGTTTTATTTTATATATATTTTGCACTATAACAACAATATTGTCATTAATAATGACTATTATTGTTAATAATGTTATTGATTATTATTTTATTATTACAATTGAAACTTTTTGGTAGAGTTGAAAATTGCAGAGGTTTGCTGCTTCCATGGTGTGGTTTTGGAATTGGTTGCTTCACCGCAATTATTTTCCGACAGCCACCATCCAGTGTTACGGCAATAGCTATCGAAACTGGTATTCAAAATACTGGTATAGCAATTATGCTTCTGAAAGTGAGTTAGCAATATTGTTTGGAAAATTGTATACTTTATGTCTTAAATTTAGTGATTTGACATGGAAATTTGATGCATGTTGTTAGGATCTCGCTCTTTAAACACATTTGATTAAAAATAATTAGATTAGTTCTCCACCGTTCTATACTTTATTTTTTTATGTCTTCGAACTGATTTCTTCCTAAAAGCACTTGCATTTAAGAGTACAATTTATAGCATTCATTTTCAGTTCTCGTTTCCGGATCCAGATGCTGACATTAGTGCACTGATTCCGGTAATTTCCGCATGTATGACACCAGTACCTCTGTTTTTTATAATGGTATTGCATTGGATATGGAAACAATGGGCCAAAAATGATAATAGAAGTAATGAAGATATTGAGGCAAAAGTAACTAAAATATGTTGCAATTCCGATAATTGTGGAGCTAATATATCAGATATGTTCTCTAAACCTCGGCGATGTGAGGGTATTCTTTTGGAGGATCAAAACGTGAAAAAATAAGGTTGTCAACACTAATCAGTCATTTTCTGCTTTTCTACTATACTGTTTTAGTGCTAAATTACTTCCTATGAGAGTGCTTGTGTTCCTTTTTTGATAAATATGCATTACCAATGAGACATAATATAATAGACTTTTCCATTTCTTAATATGACATACCGTTTTGCTTTCATTCGATAAGTGATGAATACAAAAACATGCTTGAATATTCTATCTAAACCTATTATGAATTCTGTAATTTGTCCTCTCCATCCAAACGCATACATGCGCGTACATATGTGCATTTACCAACCTGTTATTAGATAGATCTTTTGGGTTTCTTTATTTAATTTAATGTCTATGATGACTACAATGAATACCTGTTGAAATATTTATTATATTTCCTTGTTTCCTTGTTTTACTAATAAGGAGATGATCTCTTTCATATATCAAATTGCTAAAAATATCCGTAATTCTGTAACGCATACCTCGGGTTCTGTTTGCTGTGATACTGTAAGATGTACATCTTGACATCATATTTATTATTGCACATTTTGATTACTCTCCATTATAATTATTCTGATTATTCTCGTACATTTCTGCTATTTAAGCTTTTTGTTTATCCACTGTAATAAGAATTGACTGCTTGAACCTGATATATGTTCGGTAAGAATCATTATAACAGTCATTTCTAAGAATTAAAATCCAAAATTTCGAAAACCAAGTTAAGCCGATGAAATGTGCACAGTTTGATTTTTGAAGATTGCTTCATATGCAGTAGAGTATGAAAAAGTTTGCACATAATATTAGTAGGTATGTCATTCCAGTTGTTGCTTAGAATGTTTGAAAGCACTTTTCCTGATCTAATTATTATTCTGTTGTTTGTTCTTGTCTTATATGGTAGTTGTGATTTCCATTTTTTTTATTCGTCGACTTCAAATTACTCTGATTAATTTTCGTTCGGGTTTTTATTTCGCAGGAACAGCAAGTTGTGATATTTATGCGACTCTATGGGACAGATTTATTTTTGTGTACTCTATTGTTATTCATATTATTCTAATTTGTTATTAGTCATTAATATATAGTGTTATAAAAAACAAATTCTGCTTATTCGCTTTTAGAATAGTTCTAGAATCTACGGAGCTCTCTCTCAATTTGTTTCTCAATAAACTTGATTTAAGTAAAGTTTGTACTTGACGAACAAAAGGACATTCCTGCTTACAATATCTAATCTGAAGCGATGTTCCCATGCCTTTTTTCTTGCAAGTATCTCTAAAATATAAAATTATTGACTAAGCGAAGGTTGAAAGAAGAAAAATCAGTCTTGAAATAGATTTTAATTATATCGGTTATCCGGAAGTAACACGGGAAAGGTTTTTGTATGTTAGATTTCGTTAAGAAATGTTCTTTAGGTTTGTTTGCAGTTTGAGAAACTAACCATCGGAATAAAGTTGTAAAGTTGTAAGTCATGACCTTTACTCTACAAGAATCTAGTTTTTTCATGGAAGTCAAAGGTCACATTGACTATTACACATAATATCAAAAGATGTCCATTCTCTTGCCAGTAGCAATACAATATGTTCGAAATTGACAGTTAAATCAGGAGTTTAGAGGTAAAATAGTGAAATGTGAAGTAATTTTGCGCACACAACTTTTCATAAGTAGCTTATGATGCCTCTGTGTAAGGCAGTGGGTTTCATGTATGTACCACAGATGATTTGAATATCAGATTTTATGTTTCGACCCAGATAATGCTCGGAATATTTTTTGACGTATTGTTATCTGCTCGAAAGAATGATTAGTATCAAAAAAGTACTAGTCATGACTAATGATTGCTGTTAGATAATGATTTAAATGTCATTAGATTATGATTGATTATAAAAAATAAAAATGTTGCTATAACTTCAAAATGCATGAAATATGATTTATGTCAAGTATAAACTTCAACACCAGTACCGGAGAAATCAGTTATAATTAGAAGTGCACGTCATCTCGAGTTCTTTCTGCATTTGTTTTCAGTACTGGCTCATTATTAGCCATCATTTCCTCTAAATCTTCCACTGTTTGTCCTGAAACTTTGTTTGGTATTTGCTAAAGGATTGATTCCTTCAATATAAATTATATATATTACGTATTACAGAGCTTCATTGAAATTCGCTGCTCTATGAGAACTTTCATATTGCCGATTTTATTGAACTTAGAAGGTTTTAAAGTGGAAGTGTGACTAACGTTCTCGGATATTTGAATTACGTGGGGGTGGCCCATTAATTTTAATGGGATCAGATGCAAAGAATTCTTCTGCTTGTTCGTATTGAGGCCTTTTTTTGCGGTGCTTCAGCTGTAAAAGTTATTTATGAAAGTAATTTCCACATTTTTATTAATAATATTAATTGATAAATTTAGATTTGTTAACACTAAAAATTTTGCTTTCAATAGAATTATCAATTCGCTTGAAAATTTACGATAAAAAGAATTGGAAAGTAAAACTGAAACACAGTTAGAGCATATAAAGATTGTTTTGCACATAATTATTGGAAGTTATATTCAGTACTGACAAGTAGACTGTAATGTTAGGTGCAATTATGCAATATGATACAATTGCGAGAATCAGTTACTAGGAAATTTATTACAAAATTGCGTATTATAATAAGTATATATTGCAC